AAAAAAAAAAAAAGAAAAAGAAAAAAATAAAATACTGCAAGTACAGATGCAGATTCTTTTTTTTCAGATGCAGATTCTTCATACCCAGCTTGATCTCATTCCCTTGTTTAATCTGTCAGGGCTCAGATAATCATTATGATGACTTCGTTGTAACCCGTTTCTCTGTTTGCTTATATGCTTATTACATCTATGAAGTATTATCAAAATATACAATGGAAGTTTAACTTTTAAAAATTATACTAAACAACACATTGCCATTTATTCCTCTCAAAATATTCTGTCTTGCTTCAAGGATAATTATCCCATTATTCTTATCACTTTTTTTCCCAGTTATGTATTTGGAGCAGGGTCTCACTATGCAGCTTGGACTCATAGTGATCTTCCTGTCTTCAGCCTCCCCAGTGCCTTGCCACTTTTTGAACAGTTCTGAAAGTCCTTTTTTGTGTCTTAACATGGCATAATCAGAATCACAATGAGTGACGCTGCCAAGTGCCGTCCAATGGAAAGACAAGCTTGTGAAAACATGATGTTGTGTTCTCATTCACTGGATTTGGCACTATTCAATTTCTGACTCTTTCCCAAAGTTGAAATGACCATGAATCTATTCTAGACATTGAGGTAGCCATGACAGTGCAGCTGAAGACATGAAAGAGAATGTCCAGAACTGCTTCAGAGGAAGGTGGTACAAGAATAAGTATATTTGAAGCAAGGGACATTAGAGGCAGTATATCTTTTTTTTTTTTTTTTTTAGTATATCTTTTAATGTAATAAAATTTGTAAAAATTTAAAGTCACCGTAGTTCTTAACCACAGCTTATCAAATCTACAAACAACATAATTTTGTGAGTTTTTTTGTTTTGTTTTGTTTTACATGTGTCTATCTCTAGGCTTGGTTCATTCCTTTTACTTACTAATTAAAACTTAATATCATTTAAGTAATTATAGTAACATCATCATTTAGCTGTCTTCTGCTGGTCATTTAGGCTTCTCAGGTTTTTGTTATAAACAATGTTCATTTTTAAAAGCTGTTTTGCTTGTGATCTGGTAGTTGCTGATGGAGGAATACTGTGTCCTCATGGAGCCCAAGGACAGGAGAGCAAGGGGGTGAATTCCATCTCAGAAGCCTCTGTTACAAGGGCATTAATCCATGAGGTCTCTGCCTTCTTGACCTATGACTTTCCCAAAGACCCCACCTCTTACTGCCACAATAGAGATAAAAAGTTTCAACATATACATATAAGTGGAGATATTGAGACTGTAGCAATTGTTTTTTTCCCCATAATTTTATTGAGAGACATATAGCAATGAGACAGTTTCAAATCAAACTGGTAGGACAGTTTCAATAATTAACACATTGCGCACTCTTTTCCTAGTGGTTATTTGCTGTACGAGATGCAGACATGATATCCTATTTACAAACACTATTACAACAAATCCCTCTATTCATTAAGAGAATGTAACTATATATCTTTCCTAACCATTTTGAATACACAGATACAAAATGGACATTCATCTATATCCCCTTCTTTGTTTAGTTCCGTCATTTGAATATTATAGGTGTGTTAACTCAGCAAAATATTCTACAAGAGTCCAGTAGAGACTGTAGCAATTGTGAGGACATCTTCAATCTCATTTATTTCTTTTATTTCTTTATTATTTTTTTGGTGGAACTGGGGATTGAACTCTGGTCCTTGCACTTGCCAAGGAAGTGCTTATTTCACTGAGCTATCTCCCTGGCCCCTCATTTATTTCTTTAGTTTAAACTTTGTGGTCTATCACTTGTTAGTTATTCCAGTGCATTAGCATTTCCACTGTACTCTTTCAGACCTCTGAATAGACTGTTCTAGTCAATTTCTTACAAGTTAATTGTGCTGTATACTTAATGATTCTTTTTTTTTTTAATTAATTAATTAATTTATTTATTTATTTATTTACTTATTTATTTTGTGTGTGTGGCCAGTTCAGCCCACCAGGGGGCGGCCCCCCCGGGGCTGGCTGGCATGTGGTGCTGGGGATTGAACCGCGGTCCCTCTGCTTTGCTTAGCTTAGCTTGTTCTAAGTAGGTGCTTTAGACCACTGAGCCATCTCACCAGCCCTACTTAATGATTCTTAAACCACAACAATTCTATTACTCATAGCTGCTTATCTTGGTCAGGAAAATTTGTGTTCATCACCGTAGTGCTTGTGTCAAATCTACATAGCTCTCTTTAGAGCCTCTCTCATCTTTATTCTTCAATCTGAGCTTGTCCCCTTAACTGGAAATCATTCAGACCATAGTGTATGCTGTTTCTCAGACCAGTCTTCAATTTCTTCTTAGAATTTCCTCTTTCTCTTTTTATTCTTCTCAGAGTTCAGTTCCTGTTTTCTTTATAGCTTTCCCCGGAATCTCATCTCATAGATTCCAATTCTTATTTATATACCATGACTCCTGAACTTAAATCTGTAGCCATGCTATCTCCCTGCTAAGCTCTAAACACACATAGCTGTCAAGCTTTGGAAATCTTAGCCTGTATTTGTCTCAAATACCTCAGTTTCGATATGTCTTAAATAGATTTTTTTTTTTTTTGCTTTTTTTTAATTGCTAGGAAGTCATATTCTGTGTTATTTTTCCATTAATCTCAAAACCCATATCCAATCAGTTATAAATTCTGTTGCTTTTATCTAACTACATTCGTATCACATTTATATTACATTATGTAGCTTTTTTAAAATTTTGGGGCCAGGGGGATGGCTCAGTGGAATAAGCGCTTTTTGGGGCCAGGGGGATGGCTCAGTGGAATAAGCGCTTGCCTGGCAAGGGTAAGGGCCTGAGTTCAATCCCCAGTTCCACCAAAAAAAAAAAAAAAAAAATTTTTTTTTTACTTATTTTAACAATGTATGTATTTCATCTGATCTCTCTGCCACTACTTTTATTTAGCTCAAATATGACTCTATACTGCTTTTAAATATCTTTTTTATTACCTGGATAAGCATTATATGAATATATTCATTTAGTATTTATTAGTTGAACAAATGAATGCCTTTGACAATTGCTTTTCTAGACGTTGAAGATAAGCAGTGAATAAAAGGAAATTCTTGTTCTAATGGAACTAAATAGAGATCTAGAGATAGTGGTAAGTGGAGAACGGTAACGTGTAAATAGTTAATGTCAGATAGTCATGAACTCTAATAAGAAAAAATATAGTTAGGAGATAGTGATACAGTAGAAGGGAGCAGAGGGACTATTTTCTATAGAGTGATGTGGCAGGGCTTTTTAATAATAGGATCTTGATTGGGGACCTAAATGGAGTGAGAGAACAAATGATGACAGATATCTGGGGAAGATATCCTCAGCCCAGGCAGAGGAAACAGCAGCAAGTGCAGGGGGCTCTGAAGTTGAAAGTACAGTGTGCTCGACGCATTCATAGAACAGCAGAGGACCAAAGAGACTGGAGCTAAGTGAATGAGGAAGAGTGGAGAGAAACATGAGCTGGCACTGGGGCAGGAGGTCTGTAAAGCTCTGCAGGGAAAATTGAGTTTGCCTCTGAAAGAGATATGAAGAGGAAAGAGTTGTAAGAAGAGCTGTGAACTCAGAAGTTTCACATCTAGAGGCCCACCCCAAGGCTGTAGAGTGCAGCTCAGTGGCACAGCTCTTGAAGCCCTGGGTTTAGTCCCCAGCACAACAGCAACAACAAAACAAAGCAGAAAGGCTGTTTTCACTCTGGCTGTTATGTGGGAATGGAGATGAATTGAAGCCTTCCTACCTCTACTCCCAGAAGTTCAGGGAAGAGGTATTGATGGCTTGGACAAGGCAGAGCAGTGGGAAAAAATAAGTGGTCAGATTCTGAATTATATTGCTATGTTCATCATTGTGATAAAATACGCTGAAAAAGAGGAGTAAGATCTTATGTCAGCTTATTGTTTGAGAGGTTTTAGTCCATGTGACTTGGCTCCATTGTATCTAGAACTTGGGGAGGGGAGCTTGTTGTGGAGCGGAGCAGCTCACCTCATAGTGGACAGAACGCAGAGAGCGAGAGCGAGAGCGAGAGCGAGAGAGAGAGAGAGAGAGAGAGAGAGAGAGAGGAAGGAGAGACCAGAGAAAAAATTCAGAGGCCTACAGCTAGTGAACTACAATACTTCCACCACTTAGGCCCACCAATCTTAAAGTGTCCACCAGTTTCACCACCTCCCAGCAATGCCATCAGCTGGAAACCAAGCCTTTTGCACATGGCCTTTGGGGAAAATTTAAGATCTAAACAGTGGTTAACAGGAATTACTGGCTTAGATTGTGAGTTGTAGATGAGAGATAAGAGACTTCAAGAATAATCCCCAATCAGCTGAAAGAATGGAATCTACCATTTATGTAGGTGGGCCAACTGGTGTGGAAGTCCAGTGTTTGGTTTTAGGATTAAAGATCAAGATCCCACTAGATACCTGTATGCTTCCCATTTATCTTCTATTTTTATGTGCTTATTCTCTCACCTCTCCCTCCTCCCCTCTCTATATATTTAAATTATATGCATTGTATAACTATATATTACATAATTATATATATATATGTATATTAGTTTCTGATATCAGAGAAAGGTAAACTTGAGTTATTCATAGGCATATGGGTACAGTTTGAGAGCATAAGGTTAAATGAAATAAACACAAGTCTAAAATACGAATTTTATTTTACAACCACAAGCATTCTGAAATATGATCTGTGGTATTGGGGGCTAACAGTTTGGCTTTTAGAAATGTCTTCAAGTTTTTCTTATGTACTTCAGAGTTTGAAAATAACTATTAAAGAGTACAATGGACTGGAAAGGACTCAGGGATGGCAGAAAAGAACTAAATGACATTAGAAACCTTACAAACTCTTTAATTAGTTGATAGGCTAAGCAGAGAGTGAATATGAAAAGATAAAAGCTGGGGGCTGGCTAGATAGCTCAGCGGATTAAAGCTCCTGCTTAGGCAGACAAAGGAACCAGGGTTCGATCCCCACCTTACTGGCCCCACCCCAGAGGCTTGCTGAGACATCGAATGAGACTGGGCATGGTGGCATGTGCCCATAATCCCAGTGCTTGGGAGGCTGAAAACAGGAGGATCATTATAAATCTGATCTGTGTAGTGAGACCCTGTAGACCTTGTACTAAATACATAAAAAAAGTTGTAAAATGTGAGCCACTTGTAAAGATAGTTAATGCTAGTAAGTCACAGCATCTAGAACATTTAGGGAAGATTTTAACTCATGTATTAACTTCTAGCTGCTGTTCTATGGGAGCTATATAATTATAACCACATATTTTTATATTTCAAAATCATACTTAAAAAGTGTCCTAAATAAACGCTATGTATATTGTTCACAATTGATGACAAAGTTTAACTTTTAAGAAAGAGTGGTGATTTTTTTTTTTAAGAATCCTTTATTTTATTTATTTATTTTTAAATTTTTATTTATTTATTTTTTACATTTTATTTATTGTGTGTGTGGCCAGTTCAGCCCACCTGTGGGCGGAGCTGGCTGGCATGTGGTGCTGGGGGATTGAACCGCGGTCCCTGTGTTTTGCCAAGCTTGTTCCAAGTAGGTGCTTTAGACCACTGAGCCATCTCTCCAGCCCCAGAGTGGTGATTTTGAAGGCAAGAAAACCTAAAGTTTAAAATCATGTCATGTTTTAGCCAGCTATTTAAAACCTGTTTGTATGGTCCATAAACAAGGTATTACCAATTATTTCTTACAGGTTTGCCCTCCTACAACTTAAGAATAAGTAAGATCATGAGTGCTACATTTTAAAATCCAAATTTTTAGGTGATAGTAGATTTCCCTGTAAGTAAAAATGATTCTCATCTTGTGTTTTTTTAGGTTTCCAGATTGTGATGAGCCATATCCTCGACTTGTGGATCTGAATTTAGTTGGAGATCCAACTGAAGGAGCCCCAGTGGCAGTACAGAGGGACTATGGTTTTTGGTGTCCCCGAGAGTTAAAAATTGATCCTGATCTTGGTTATTCTTTTTTGCACGTGCGTGATTGTTCACCTCCTTGTCCCAACATGTACTTTAGGAGAGAAGAACTATCATTTGCTCGCTATTTCATAGGATTGATTTCAATCATTTGCCTCTCTGCCACATTGTTTACTTTTTTAACTTTTTTGATTGATGTCACAAGATTCCGTTACCCTGAAAGGCCTATTATATTTTATGCAGTCTGCTACATGATGGTATCATTGATTTTCTTCATTGGGTTTTTGCTTGAGGACCGAGTAGCCTGCAATGCCTCCAGCCCTGCACAGTATAAAGCTTCCACCGTTACACAAGGATCTCATAATAAAGCCTGCACCATGCTTTTTATGGTACTCTATTTTTTCACAATGGCTGGCAGTGTATGGTGGGTAATTCTTACCATCACCTGGTTTTTAGCAGCTGTGCCAAAGTGGGGTAGTGAAGCTATTGAGAAGAAAGCACTGCTGTTTCACGCCAGTGCATGGGGCATTCCCGGAACTCTGACTATCATCCTTTTAGCGATGAATAAAATTGAAGGTGACAATATTAGTGGCGTGTGTTTTGTTGGCCTCTACGATGTTGATGCATTGAGATATTTTGTTCTTGCCCCTCTCTGCCTATATGTGGTAGTTGGGGTTTCTCTCCTCTTAGCCGGCATTATATCCCTAAACAGAGTTCGAATTGAGATTCCATTAGAAAAGGAAAATCAAGATAAATTAGTGAAGTTTATGATCCGGATTGGTGTTTTCAGCATTCTGTATCTCGTACCACTCTTGGTTGTAATTGGATGCTACTTTTATGAGCAAGCTTACCGTGGCATCTGGGAAACAACATGGATACAGGAGCGCTGCAGAGAATATCACATTCCATGTCCGTACCAGGTAAGGGAAACCTTGTTATAAATTTCAGAATGTGTGATACTGGAGAAAAAGCATATTACTAACTGTTCTTTTCAAAACTCTCCATAACCTTTCAGCTTGTACTTAAGATTTTAGGGCAAAGACAGCAAATACAGTAAGTCTATAATACACATATTTCTAAAGACTTCTTCATTTTAAAAGATGGTTTACATGTCTAAGCTTTGCTTTTAAGCAGTCTGTTTTGATTATCACAAAACGGAAAATTCTTTATTAATTCTTTAGAAGTCCAGGTTTGTAGGGGAGAAATACCATTCCAATACTGATGAAAAATGGAACTGTCTTTTGTAGAAATTTTATTGATGGCCAGATAAAAATTATTATTATTACTGTTATTTTAATATATGTGGTACAGGGTCTCATTACACAGCTCGAACTCCTAGTGATTCTTCTGTTTTCAGCCTCCCCAGTGCTGGGATTACAGGCGTGCACCACCATGTCCAGTCTGTGTGGCTCATTCAGCATATCCTGGGGCAGGGCCAGTGCAGCATGTAATGCCAGGGATCAAACCCTGGTCCCCACACCTGCCTAAGCAGGTGCTTAGTGCACTGAGCTATCTCGCCAGCCCTTAGAAATTAATGCTGCAGAAATAATATAGTGCAGTTTTGCAGACTCTTATAGTCTTAGTTTTTCTCATTTGCATATGAATTTTTGTGTTATATGCTAGATTTTAAAGAGTTCAGAGCCTCTGGTAGTCATAGAATCATACAACTTTAGTTCTGTAAAAGAACTTTACACATCATTTATTTAAATTCCTTTCCTAATTTAAAGTTCTTAAACATTCATCTCTTTTGAAGCTTAAAAATGTTAAGTGGCTTAGTCAGGCATGGTGGCACATGTCTGTAATCCCAGGAGGCTGAGGTAGGAGGATTGTTGCAAGTTTGAAACCAGCCTGGGCTACAAAGTGAGCAGAAGGCCAGCCTGAAATGCATAGCAAGATCCTGTCTCAAAAAGACCAAAAAAAAAAAAAAAAAAAAAAAAGCTTGCTTATGCTTAGTAAATGCCAGCTGGGATT